AACAATTTTTGCAACCTTAAACCGTCGTTTCGAAAACCTTACAGTGGAAATTGTAGTTTTAATTAATAATATGAAATAATTCTTCATCCACATCTAGTTTCTAATTTTTACACATTGGATTGCTATTAAAAATAAGTGAAGATTTAGTCTTCACCGAAAGGAAAACTTAGCGAAATATCTTGTTCTTACCCAAAGTTCCTCGGATTTCGTTCTGAGCAATTTCGCTAGTATATAGCGGCCCTACGATGCAAAAAGAGCCGCCAGCCATTCCCGTTAAGAATCTCCCGGCTAACAACATGGCCTCATGTCGAGTTAGAATAATCAGAACCCAACCAAGAATGAATGGTATAATTGTAAACAATACGGCCAGTTTTCTCCCAAATTTATCCGCCATGATCCCAATAGGGATGCAAACAAACGTCGCTCCGAGACACATAATCGATCCTGCCCAGGACAGGTCAAGCTTGATGTTGTTCAAATCGCCATTGGCCAATTCTAAAATAGGAAAACATTATTTACAAAAATATAATTTTTGCTTGGAAACTATTATATCGAAAGCTACATAGTCAGACGATTTCTGGCAACTTTAAAACGACTTTTATTATCTGACTATGCTGAAATGTTTACCAAATTGGAAGCGTGCGTAGGTACATCGTCCATCTGACCAAACACTAATAGCTTTTATATGTCCAACCGAGGAAATTGGTCAAAAAAGTTTCAGCGCTATTCTCATTCTATAAAATGTACATTGTTCAGTTTTCGCGATTTACGCGCTAAGCCGATTTTATAGCAAATATGTTAAAATAAGAGCAATCTGAAAATGAAGCAACAGAATAACAACTAAAGCCAGAAAGGTAGTGAAATATGTTTAAAATATTATCACAATATGGCCATCTACATTATGCAGGTAGCAGCTTAACAACAATTTCTTCAAAATTATAATCAAAATTCGTTGAACTTCCGGATGATGGTGATTATAGATGCCAATAAGAACGATATTATATTGCTGTTTAAAATTAGCTGTTGGTTTAGAAGCACGCCTGGATAATTGCAGGTTTTATCCAATGAGTGCTCGGTATTGGCTATTTCTAAAACAATAAACTTGAAACTAACAGCACAACAAGCAGCGTTTGCGTTTTTTTATTTTAAAATTTAGCCTACGCGTACAGCGCTATAAAAGACAATATTTATTAATGGCGGTTTATCAGTCATTGTTAGTGCTGTGATTTCTTCAATACGCTTTACTGGACTCATTAGACAGCGACCGTAGCTAGCAAACTCCCTATTTTCCATTTATTTTCGTATTTATTTGTTCTCTTATAGTTTTGTTGGTCAATTTAGCTTACATATTCTTTTAGGTTCACCTCAATCTACTAAATTGTTTTCGCTATGTAAAATACTCTGCAAAATGTATTCAAAAATATCTTAAATTTCTTAAACAATAATTTGGATCGATACTTTTCAACATTACGGTTGATGATATTCTCATTGACGGTAACCGGAATGTGTGGATTTTTCAGAAGAAAGCATCCTCGTATTGTTAACAGCACAAACGTTATACCTACTGTTAATACCTACTGTTACATATAAATTGGAACTAAATTATGTCAGAAAAATTAGTGGATTGCTGACTAAAAGTACAAAAAAGTCTTAACAATATAATACTTTATATTTGCCATTTGGCATAACTGTTGAACGTGCTATCAGAATTAGAAATTAGCACAATATAAATGTTTGTGGTCACTAATCTAGTAACACATTATTCACAAATTTGAATGCCGAATGATACTTAATATGATATATTTAGTACCCGATATGTTGTTGATTATTTGCTTTCCACTAACTTTTTACCATAATTTTAACAGTAGTTGTTCTTGGCCTCTTTAATTTAAATATTTGCATATTTCAGAAACGACTTTACATTTAGAAATATCCGTTAATGGAAAACATGAGCGTAAACCAATGCCTGGTGATTTTGCATCAATATTTTATTTCAAAAAGACTAAATGGTTGAAACTAAAAAGCTGCTATTTTTGAAACAAATATAACGCAGATTACCTAGATTACTATTTGCGTGAGTGAGTTGGAAATATGTTGCAATTGAAAGCTTTTTTCACAATACTGGCAAACATTTACAAAAAGTTGTGTAATTTATTATAATAAAATTAACGTCCGCTATATTGGTTTTATATTCAATAGTTCACTATTTGCTTTACTTAAATTGGTAGTGTAATAATTAAAATATTCTAATTAAATTTTGATCGGATTCTTTTATAGTGTTAAAACCGGGTGAACTATTGCGACTGAAACTTAAAAAAATTTCATTTCAGCTTTTTAGTGTTAGGAAAAATCGCGAATTAGGAAATACAAATATTTAGGTGGAAAGTGTCATCTACACAATTTCCTAACTTTTATAATAATCCAATTTTTTAATTAAATTTTATTAATTTTTCCATTTAAAAATAATTGATGTTTTATTTGCTTTTTTCAAGTAACTCTCCACTTGATGTAGGTACTTTATCAGAAATAAACTTTCAAATAACGCGTTTTTATCTAGTTTTCACTTGTTTTAGAGACATGTTTCTTGAATTAGTTAAATAAGTAAGTATTCTTTACTAACATAAAATAAAAAGTTTTTGAGTGACAAAAGCAGTTTAATAACGATCAGTTTAAAATTGTTAAACATTCGTAATTTAAACCGTTAGATAGAAAAAAAATTAAGAGTAACGAAGTCCTTTTAGATATATCAACCGTAGTGCTTTAAGGGAAGTTACAACTGAAAACTGCTCTTTTTTTGCATCAAAATATGCCCTGTATCAAAATATGCCTGCACCTAAACTGTTAAATGCAAGAGTTAATGCTCACAAGAAGCATGATTCAAATTTATAATAATTCAAGAGCTAGATTCCTTTCCCTTATAGAAAAAATGTCCGGACACCCAAACTATATTTTATGGCTGCAAACCCTAAAGCACGAGATGGAAATTGCTATAAATTTCGGCAGAACATTAACTTTTCGCATGCATAATTCTATCTGAATCATTTGAGTTGTTCTTTTCTCTCGTCCTGGTACATTCTACTTGCAAACTTTGTATACATATTCTGATTTTTAATTACACTTATTGTCGGTCAAAAGATGCAATTAAATTCCAGCGACCGGCAACATCTAGATGAAACTTTAAATTCCTGCAATGTAAACCAGGGTATTTTTCATTGTTCCCGAGATTCTTCGCTAAGATGTTTTCCTGACACCGGCATTAATCAGTTCAAACATCCAGACAGGGTAAACAACTGGACTCAGAGGATCCCGGCTTTGAAATTTATTTATTGGTCTTGTTAGGAGCGATCTTATCACGCGGTCGCCACAGTTTTATTTTCATTCCGTCGTCTTAACAAGCTACTATATATAATTTAAGGTGCTTTATGGATATTATTCGTATTTGTCCAGCTGAATTTGAAGCTAAACTTAACAAATGTACCATACAAAGGCGTTTTGATCAACTTCTATAATCTAAAGTTTTTGAAAGTTTGATAAGTTAGACAACTCGTGCTGCATTGACCATATTAAATCAGCAACTGGTCAAGTTAGTTCTTAACTCATGGAGAGTTATTCTATTTTTCACGAAAATTTTTTATCTTTTCGAGATCAAATATGTTTTAGGAAACAACTCAATAATATTTCATATTCACTTCGTTGTTTCAAGTGTTAGATTCTTCGATATGATGACATTTTCAGCAACATCATGTACCTATGATTTGACCTCGAACACGAATCGTTCCATTTAGAAAATATGGTTATTGCATTTACTTAATGATATCAGTAATTGGGCCATAATAATTTGTCAGTTGTTTTTCGGCAAAATCCAATAATGAACCTCATTTACGTAGGCGTAATCTGAATTACTCACATGTTGCTTTTACATTGTTTTTGAAATAATTTTATTTCAAATTTTATCAAGAAAAATGTTTCCATCGAAATATTTTCATTGATTTGGATATAAAGTTAAACTTAAAATAGACCCAAAACAGATGACACGTTTCTAAAAAAACTCCTAGAGAAAACCCTGGGTAACACACTTATGGCAAAATGAATGAATTATTATTAGCAGAAGTACAGAACAGCTCATTTAAAAATGATTGTCCTGGATATTGAACAGCAGTGTTTTAAATTCCCCTCAAATCGTGGTATTCCGCCGCACATGAAATTGAATAATCTCTAAAGAATGTAAAATGTCCTCCTTTTTGAAAAACGAGCATCAAATTTTGGGAAATAAATAGGCCATTATGCACGGAGGTTGTTTAGTTGAATATCGGCTCTTAGCCACAGATTTTATCTCTAGCCATTTCAATGTCCATTTGATTTGCGCTTCTTGGCGGTTTATCTAGCGGCTCTTTCCAGTGCATGGTTTGAGTTACCATGGGTAAGTGAGTTTCAAGTGACAAACCTATTTATATTACATTCAAGCCACTCGAAATGTTCTATATCTGAAGTGTTACGTTTTTCTCTGTATGCCATCGTGTGCACTTAACGGATTTTTGAGGCTCCATACTCTGAACTGTAAACGAAGTTGATCGCATTCGGTTAACCGATTTAATCTTGCGTACTTCATTGAAAGAAGCTGGAATGTAAAAGCTTGAAAAATCATTTTGGATGGTTACATGACCGCTAAAAAGCCAGTGCACGAAATTTCATTGACCAAATTTCGTTGGATTATTAGAGAAATTTGCATTTTTTCCATACATTATCAGAATTTATTTTTGATTAATTATATTGATTAATATTATTTATTGCAATAATTAATACCTTTCCGATAAATCACTAATCTAGAAAGCGTGCTTCTTTTTTACGTCTCTTTACGTACTTACAATAATTTTTTTGATTCCATCTGTATTAGAATGGAATTATACAGCCAGCTTGTGTTCTAATCAATGTTTTAATCTTGGATCATTCATGACAGTAATTATGTTCGCTCACTGTCCTTGGATCAGCTGGTTCAAATATTCAAACAAAAATACCCGCTGCACAACTCCAAGGAAAAGATATTTTCTAGGAAATCGCCTCAGAATCCCGGAAAGAGCATTGCAGCTATTTGGAGTTATGGTTTCAATTTAGGGTGAGTTATCCCCTTAGAATATCAAAAGATGCCTTGAAATCTATGTCAAGAACGACTTTTTCTGAAATTGCATGAATGCCAGCAAGAGCAAACTGGCAGATCTTTTTCAATTTTATGAGAAAGTCTCTTCCTTATTGGTCTAAGATATGTGTAAAGTAAGCCGTACTAGAAACTGGGTGTAAGAATGTAGCAAAAATAATTTTGTTTAGGTAATTACGAGTATCTTTATATGCGTCTTTTATATTTTTCCTCTCTCAATTTCTGGATTTGTGTGCTTTTTCCATCTACTGTTGTTATTTGTGTTGATATATGGTGCTATAATATAAAGTAGTTTTATGAACTCAATTGAAACTAATTATGCAGTTTTGACTGATCGAAAATCTAATAAAACATTTTTAAATATTTCTGGGAAAGTAGTCAGGTAAAATTCAGTCCAAAGTCCGGAATGTAAGGCTGAATAACAATTCAAGACTTTTAAAAAGAATAATTTTCAATTCAAATTCCAATATACTTTTATTTTATATACTATAATTTTATTGTCAATGGCTAACAGGGAAACAATTTCTTAGCGCAAATCGTTTTTCAGAATTCATGGGATGGTTCATCTTTTTGTATGCATAATTGAACTATTTACTAAAAAGTAAACTTAGTATGAAAAATTTAAAAAACATAAACTCCTAAACAGGGCAGTGAGATTAAAAGCCATAACGAGAATTGAAAGAAAAGGTGAAAATGCTGAAGAGTTTCTGAATGTTGTTAAATTCATTTTCTGAATGTGGTTTTTCAGAGAACGATAATTGTCGCATGTCTACGACAGTTATTTTTCTCTCTAAATCTCAATTTCAAAATTAGATTTTTTTCTAACTGAACTGTTTTAATATAAAAGTACATATACTTAAATCGGAATTTGTTAACTGTTTTCAGCACAATTTTAAAATGGCTGAAGTAAATTTGACCCATCTTTCATTAACAGGTTACCATAAATTTTCTTTAGCTTTGTTTATGCTTCAAAATTGGTATTTTCTCCAACCTACCGGGGTTGAAGTAGAGTCGGCGACACATAAAAGTAGACGACTCCTAAAGGCGATTTTTTCGGATTTTGGTTAATCAGACTTTGTGAAATACGTCAAATATACTTATGTACGATCTATGTCGCAAACTTGTTTAAATTTGACAATTTAATTAATATATTTTGTTTAAATTTGACAATTGCCTTTACATTTATCTTTTACTCGAAGAGAAGTTCTTAACTTGATTGTGACTGCATTGGGTTAGTTTGGGTACGGCACTCGTGGCTGTTAAAAAATCAAGACTGAAGTGGTAGAACCAATTCCAAAATTATATGTTTCTTTAACTAATTAACTACAAGCAATAATTATTTCAATGTAATTGAATAAATTGCAACCAACTATTTCAATATATCTCGCGATTAAAATCATAAAACCAATAAAGAAATATCAGCTCATATCTGTATTCAAATAGGAATGTGCAATCTAAAGAGGGAAATCCATAAATTATCCACAAATAAATTGCATACTTATTCAAAAACTAAAATAATTTTAAACAGAAGAGAATCCAGAAATAAAAAATATATGATGCCTTTAGAATGTTGGAGAGATAGTATTTCACACGTTACACAACTTCGACATAACGTTCACCGCAGAAGTGAACGAAACGTTGGCACGCAATTCCAGTGATTCACAACCTATAAATCCAAAAAACTTTTTAATAGGGTAAATTAGCCTGTAGTCGCACAGTTATCAAAGGTCTAAACTTAATTATTTTATTAAATTCCCAGTAATGAGGTAACAAATGTAAAACATTTTCCAGAGAATAATTTTATGTTTTGGCTTCAATTTAAAAACAAAAGTTTTATTTTATAATCCGACTGCAAATTGTTATTGATTTTTAAATAAAAAAAGTGCCGTTTTGTTAGTAGGCCGACAGTTTGCCAGTAGTCGGCCAGGTAATTGCTAGAAATAGGACACTTTCTGATTCGTTATGTCTGCACGCACAGTCCTGTAATCCGAATTTCATAAGGACTAATAAAATGTGAATACAAATCTTTACTTGACGCACAAATATAATAAATAAGTTATTGAGTAGTTTTAAAGCATAATATATTTTTTAGTAAATCGGTTTCAAAAACAGGAACTAACCTGATACTATTATCTATAAGTACTAACATTATTTTATTGTCGATAACAGAAAATGGGCTGTTTAAAAATATCAAAGACAAAGCGAGTCTTGACACTACGAAAAACAAATAAATGATCAGCACTGATAAATTAACACACAAGCAAACATACAAATGTCTTACAAAATATGTAATAAGCTAACTAACTAACTTCTTTGGTAACAATTAGTTATGGTTGGTCACACTAAAATCAAGACATAAGTAAATAAATACTGAATAATAATATTCAGTAAATAAATAAACGCTTTCAACGCCTCTTTTTGAGCAATTTTTTTAGACAGTATCGAGAGGAACATTTTTTTATTGTAAATCCATACTCAGCAAAATTTCTAAACCATTTCGCTATTCGATGCGTTTCGGTCCCAGGGTTTTGCACATTTCGCTTACTGTTCCTTTAATCCAGTCAAGCACTTTTGACTTAGGAACCCCATGCTCCTGCATATTTGCCGCAGTTTCCCCCATTTCGAACAGCTTCGACAGCTCTTTTTAGGGAATCTGCGTCATACTGATGAAATTTACGTTTCGGTTTTGGTTGCATTTCTTAAATTATTGCAAAATATGAAAAAATCTGTAAAAATCCCTTCCAAAAATGCTGAAAAAATGTTAGTGTCCGACTTTTAAAGCATATGAGATATCATATTGATTAGTGGTCGGACAATTTTTATGTTTTAATTCCTGTAGGTATTTGGTTTTTGCTGTCCGTCCACTAAATACGCGTTAAAACTTTTAATGTGTTATATGAAATAAAATAAAAATATCGATATGGTTTGCAAATAAATAGAAAGTGAGCAGAACTGGAAGGCCCATATGTTTTCAGTTTGTTTATTAGTTCAAGCGGTTTATTATAAAATAATATTCCAGTCTGCCAGCCATCTAAATTATACTTTAAAATATTGCAAAATTTACGTTTTTGTAAAGTTTTATGCAAATTTAGACTGTTATTAATATTATCTACCGTTTATGCTTGTCCCTAAATTATTAAATTTAAAATTTAACTTACCTTTTAACTGTTTCACACCATTCTAACACAGATAAACTAAAGAGCAACATCACAACGTCACTTTCTCGCCTTTTTAACGGTTCAATAATGACAACTCCACACATTAAAATGCTAAAAAATCGCAGGGAAAGGTTGACAGAATTGATATCTTAATTATTTAAGATGATACTGTTTCATGTTTTCAACTAATTTTCCAATATAAACGTTTGGTCCGACTACTGGCTGTGTCCGGCTTACTGGCTAAGTTACCCTATTTTGGCTGGTGTGAACGGCTGCGGATTCTGATTATCTTCCTTCCAAATTCAAATTAATTAAATAGATCAAATAAAAAAATAAATTAATGTAAACATTTCTCAATAATGCTCGACCTTCTATTATGCTTTGGACTACAACTTGTACAGGGTAATCCTCAGTGATAATTTTTTTAAAATTACTCAGCATTTGCATAAAAGTACTTCTTGTGAAAAGCAGGTATTGGTTTTTCAAATTAATCCAATTGAGGAAATTTTCCATATAACGACCACATTTTTAATATAAGCGTAGTAAGTAGAATGATATAATGTAGGTATTCCGCACCAAGCAAATATTTATGAAAGTATATGAGTGACTCTATTTAATACATGAAAATGGGTCCGTAAAAGCTTAGCGGTCCAGGCGACACACTCTGTAATTGAATATATTTAAAATTTAGTTCATAAACTTTCTATTTAATGTATATTAATGGCAAGAGGAAACTATTTGCTTTAAATTGCTTTAAAATTGAAAACTTTATTACTTGCTAAGAGTACCAACCTGTGCTTTAATCTTGTAATACACTATCTGTATAGCGCAGTTATTCTCATCGTTACAACTGCTATGACGAGCAATTTAAATTAAAGAATGCTGTTTCAAAGGCGTAAGATAGAAAATTGTACTCAAGGCAAGTAATTGCATTACTTTTCCGCCCTTGCTATTCATTGCTCAAAATAAATTGATGCAAACTGAGATTAAAATGATCTAAAATTACTTTGACACATAGGACCTGTTTAGGACTAAGTACATTGTTCAACCAATAATGAAAATATAAAATATCTGATTTGTTCCAAACGCTGTATCAAATAAATATAATCGTTAAAAATGCATATAAAGCTGAAACTAACGGAAATATTACTTACTGTCTGAAATATTAGAAGTCCAAGCTATAACAGTTCCAGTACCCATCGCTCCAATGCATATGGAAACAGCTGCAAAAAACTGTGGCAATCGTTTTGCTTTCACATCGGCCATTTTCAACAATTCTTTGGTTGAGAAAATGCAAAAAAAAGTCTAAAATATATCATACAAACATACGTAAAATGAATATAAAAATATTAAAAAACGCTTCAAAAATATTTTGACGTAAAAATATTTGTCACCGGTACCGACATGTTTTAATTTGCAACAATGAAATGTTTTTTGGGTGATACGATTATTTACTCAACCCGACACATCTTTATGTGTTTTCCATTGGGAACTGATTGAGATTATTTTTCCTCCGTTGGGAAATCCTCGTTAAAATAAGCAATTATTATTGTTCATAACCATTTCAGTTGTTATAAATTAATTTCTTAATCCGCGTTATCAGAGAGGGATTTGTCGGTTTAGTGCTAATTTACTAATCATCGGATTTTGATAGGATTTTTATAGAAAACCTTAAGCCATGGACAATAAACATATAAACTGTTACCAGCCTTTGTGAAATTGGCCATCTTACATTTCTTAAATTCCCTTAATTTAAAGAACACTTGGTTTTCTCATGAATTGCTACTTTTATGCAAATGCTAAAGATTTTGTAATTTAAAAAAAAATATTACTGAGGATTACCGTGTAGAAGTTGTGTATGAGAATAATCTCATAGATTCATTTCAAATTCGAAGGCATGATGTTTAAACAACGGCCATCGAGCCGAAATAAACTGCTCAACAAAATGACCATTCGACGGCGAAAATTACCTACCTTTGGAACTGGATAAAATATAATTATTTTGCTGCCGTTTCCATTTTTGCCAAATTTAAGTACTTCACATTAAGTTTCTAAAGAATGGAAAATGAAATTTGTTTGGGAGTTTCCAGTTGCACTAAAAACGGTTTCTTTTTGTTTTAACAACAAGGTGTTGAGATATTTGTCGAATCACACAACGCCGTTTGAATGTTGCACCCACCTTTAATTACAAGGGGATCTAGCAAAGTCGAGCTTTTGATCTTGCAATTATTTACCTTGCAGAAACAGTTTTCCTCTCCATGAAACTGATTTTCAAAATGTAGAGTTTATGATAAAGTCAAAACTGTATAGCGACTTAAAGCAACATTTGTTGCAAACAAAATCTTAGGCTTGGGGGAGTACTCATTTGGCTCATTTTTTCGCAAAACTATATTTCTTTTTTTCCCTTGGTAGTAGTTCGAAATAATTGCATTACTCAAAAGATAATTTTTAAAGATCACCTCTAAATAAACGAGATTTCCGAAAAAGGCAAAAACCGTTTCGAAATATGAAAACAATCTTTTCGCTTTTAGTGTTAAAATTTAAAAAAAATTGTATTTCGAAAATTTTACAWTTTTGTAATTTCTACCGTCCATATCGCTTCAAAAAGAAAATAAATCGCCGGCAGCAATGTGAATTKATCACGTTTCATAGTTAGGGCTAATCTRACAGTGTAACGATTATTTTGTTCAGCTGTTTAGCTCAATTCAAGCGGTTTCCTGCTGGATTTCTATATAAACCGCTAATTTAGTATTTCTTCAATGCTCTAGCCGTACATTGGGTAAAATCTAGGACAGCCAAAGGACATTTTKCTAWSTTACAATAGAAAAAATTCCCGCATCGAATCGGCTAAATAATTACTCWTTCTGTACATTCATGACATTTTGACATGCATATGAAAGAAAACACCCTGTATATGAATACAGTAGCTTGAAGAGTTCATTGAGGGGTGATATATGTATAGATGTCCTGACGTAGATGTTGAAATAAAATTGTTGCTTCTCAGTAGATCGTCACCACGAACGGGTTGAAATGCTTTGATTTATTTCATAGAATTCTAAGATATCCTTCTGCATTTTAARCAATAGATGTGTATTTGTTCGCTCTTGAAATGTGAAGACTTTTGARTATTTTGCAACTGTCGGTTCTCCATAGTCGATGGTATCATTCTAGGTAACCCGTGATCAATACAGGAAAGTTTTTCTTGTGGGCGAACATTGAATTTCACCTGAACAGGTTAATCGAGAATAAGAAGTTCTTAAAGATTTTCGATTGAATTTTGGCATTTTTCGTATTCTTCTTTTTAAGAGAGAACATTCACGAAGACGACTATTTTCACTATTCATCACGATTGATGATGATATTAAGTGAACTGCAGGGAGTGATAGTATGAAGACAATAATTAATATTGATATAAATGTGTGAATAATTACAGGATAGAATTAATAAAATACCGGCTTTAGAAAAGCCTTTTCGCGAAAGGAAAATCTGATGACAGATGGATCTGATTTAGCCAGCCCTTTTCCGTTTATGGCCGATTTCCCGGGGTCATTGCTAGGGTGTTTCCTTTTCGGGAGCGTTTCTACGATTCTGTTTTCCGGTATTTTCTTGATAAGCATTCATTGAGATTGTACCAGAAATCGCCGCGTTTCCTTATTTAAATTTCTTTGAAGTAAAACGTTAGCTATAGCCTATTACCACTTTAACTGCATTCTCTTTGGTAATATTATTTATTTATCATTAGTTCTAAGTTCGAAATCCTCATCTAAGTCGCATCTATTAAGATGCTCAAGAAGTTTGAAGTTTCCCATTCCAATGTAGTGTTGCTTTGAAGTAAATATACAGAATATTGGGACCAGGTTGGACTCCTGGCATCTCCCTAAAAAGTTCATGTTGCTAAAAGTGTCAGTACCTTCAATTTGAAGCTTCTAAGTTTTCTGAATTTGAATTGGTCAGATACAGCACGTTCCCGGCTGACTGGCCTTTTTTGTTGTATTTTCCAAATTTTTTTAAATGTTTTTAATTTTTGTTGAAAAGATAAGCAATGTTTTTTAAATTTTGTTTTTAAATGTAGAAATGATTGCAACTTGGATGGTGATTTAAACACAGTTTACTTGAATCAACCTTCTTGATTGATCTTGATTCCGGTCTGAGAACACATTATAATGCACTTTATATTCTTCCTCATAGTGAATATTAAACTCCTATCAGATCAATTAACTATATAGAATATTTAAATTGTATGTTCTTGTGCATACCTACCTACAACAATTGTTTGTATATTGTATTTGCCTTTTTTTAGTCCTTTCCTCTAAATCTACTTCCATCAGTTTCTTTGCACATGAATTTCTATGTCCAAACTGCTGAACACTGCAAGTGTTTTGGTTTCAAGTTTCCGGCGTTGAAAAGGGGAAATTTCCTTTATTGAAATCTCAAATAATAAATTCCATCAAACTCCCAACTTATCGTCGCATAGTTTCGAAAGGCAATTTGCTGGAGCATTATGTAGATTGTCTTTTGCAGAATTTCAAACACAGTTACAACAAGTGACGAGAAATGAAGCCACACAGACTTTGAGTCAGTTTCGGTCTTGTTGTCGATTTATTTGCGTTATAAAGTTTATAACGAGTGCTTTTCAATTTGGTGTCGCTTAGACAGCGTCGGATGAAAAGTTGTTGTGGATTCGGGAATTTAAAATGTGTTGCTAGTTTGAAGTCGCTTTTAGTTTTTTTTTTGAGGTTGAAACGCATCTTAATAGCCCGAAAAGCTTTCTAGAAAATTTATTTTTTTAATCAGGCAAAATTAGTTTTCCATTTTTTATCTTTCTCTGATCTCTCCGATGTCAATGAAAATAGAAATTATATACGTTTTTCTCCGAGTAAATGCTAGAATGGCTGTGCCGATTTAGTAGGAACAATATTTTTCTTTAAGGATTCGTGTTGGTTACAATCAAATGGAATCATTTTAACAAACTCATTAATTTGTCCCTTCTACCAAAGACCTCGCCGTTTAGGATATCTGCATTACAGAAAATAAAATATTGGGGGTTTTCATTATTTATCCATAATAGCGTACTGATTTTGCCTAGAAAAATGCAATTACTATATTCAAATAATGTTCAGAGTCCGGACCTGCATCAATCAGTCGGATGCCAGGGTTCAAACCAGTTAGAGGGTAGATATTAGATATAGTTTATCTTTCTCCTGGCTCATTTCGAGTTATGTTTGCAAAACGAAAATGTCGCCATATATTTCGCCGTTTGTCTGAAGCGTTGGCAGAGTCTGGCGAACTTGCGAGAAACAATACCCAACTAGCTGATAACAAAAACCATTTCGGAATATTTCGTCTCGGGTAGGAATTGAGCTCTAAATATGCTGGGTTAGGGTGCCAAATATTGCCACTTAGTTTACCACTTATGGAAGGAGAGTTTCTGAGTTTTAAAATAAAGGAATGCATTTAAAATTGTTATATTTTGAAGTCCAGGAGATAAATTGTTAATTTTGCTGTAAAACTGTCCAAGTCAGAGGCTTGATATTATTCACTTGATAAATGTTAATTTTAACTAAATCGTTACAGCTTTTTAATCATAAACTCAGGGAGAAAACAGATAATCATAACAGAACAGAACGCAACACAATCGGAATTATGACCATGAAAACATGCATGGAAGGATGATGGCATGGAAGAATGGGACAATAATGCAGTTCGAAAGACATGTAAAAACTAAATAACACAAAAAATATCAGAAAAATGTGGGAACATCGAGAACGATACAAATATTAATATCAAACCCAGTGCAATTCGTCCAAATTTCATCTAAAAACACGTTTAAGAAACAAAATAATACATCTAAGGATCTTAGTGAGTTACACGAACGGTTTTTAATTATAGAAGGGTATTTTTCGTGTGCTGCAGCCACCAAGGAAGATTGCGACAAGTTGAACATCTGATTCCTTTTTATATGCTTAGATGTTTTCGCAGCAAATGGAGCGTTGAAAATAATGCTACTAAAAAAAGCTCAATAATTAATAACAACAAATATGATTGTTAGAAATCTGGATCATTTCGATGAGTCAATAGTTAGAAAATATTATCAGGTGTTCAGCTCAGATAAGATAAGAATATAAGTATTTTAATTGCGGAAAAATAAGGCTATTAGTAATGGAAACTAAAAATTTCCTTAATTGCTGCAATTTTGTACCAAAATTGTACATAAATGATTATTAATATTATTAATCTTCTACATGAATTTCGCACTGATTTAATTATTGATTTTCTAATTCAGTCAGAAAATTCTTAAAGTTCCATTTATTTATCGCAAGAAGAATTTGAGTCCTAAATGGAATTTTTAGAAAAAGTTAAGCTTAATTTATTAGAAGCGATTTATTTCTGGAGCTTCAACTTTTATTTTGAAGCTACAAAGATTATGATTGGACTACTTTACTTCACAGTAGAAAACTTCTTCAATAATTTTTCTGATGATCTATATTCTACTCACAGCATCTTACTATCC